TCCCGGCGCGGGCGGCGGTCTGGGGGTCGCCACGCTCGCCGGCGCCGCGAGAGCCCGCTGACGGGCGGGGAAGGCGGACGCAGGTCTCCTCGCGTCGCCAGCTGGTCTTTGGTGGCGTCCAGGAGTTTCCAGAAGCGTTAAACGCGACTCGAGCGCCCCGGAGTTGCTGTTTTTCCCCTAGGAAAGTCGGTGTGTCGGAAAATCCGCCGCCTTTAGGAGAAGAGGGGGTCTCGGGCCACCGATGAGACCACCTGGCCCCCGAAATTAGTCTTTCAGCGCTAGTTTGGTCTGTTTTTGGTGTTCCCGGTGAACTCAGCCCAAGCACGTCTGTCGGTGGCAGAGCTGGCTTCGGCGTGTCCATCCCGAACGCTCCCAGTCCTCCCAGACGTCAACATCCCGCCAGGCTTTGAGCCGTGTGGGCGCAACTCGTCGTGGAGCTGCGCAGCAGATTGCTGAACTTATCTGGATTAAAAATAGCCTCTTCTACGTGATATATATATATATTTTTTTTTTTTTTTCCTGCTGCGGTTTGCTGGTGTTGCTCATTCTGCCCCAACTGGGGCAGCAGGGGAAGAGGACGAGCGTCGGGGCAAGGGCTTGCGTAGGTTAGCGCAGCCGTCAAGAGAAGCGTTTACGGGATTACAGCTTTGGTGCAACGGCGCCAGCATTGTCGCATGAAATAGGTATACCGGTACTGCTCGGTTGAAACGCCGCGACTGATCGTGAGCGCCAAATTTGAGAGAAGAAAGTGAAACGTCCGTCTTTTGTGGCACGTGCTGTTTTGGCACCGTTCTGCTCTGTTTTTGATGGTGAAAGAGTTACCCTCCAGTCTTGGTGGGATGTTCAGAGTTCGTGGGCGTGCGGGGGGATTTCAGTATTTCGTGGCTTCAGTTCCATTTTTACTGGAAACGCTAAGCGCGTCTTGGTGCTATTGGTAATTTCCGTAGCCAGAGGGTCCATACAGCAGCTTCACTGCTCTATCAAGCAGAACAAGAAACTAGAGTCAACGCTAAAATGGGAGCATCTATAGCGAGAGCAAAA